TTCTCTGATAACTGGTGAAATTGAGTATTTTTTCATGTGCCTGTTGGCCATTTGTATGTCTTCATTGGAGAATTGCTTGTTTAGGTTTTCTGCCCATTTTTGGATTGGGTTGTTTATTTATCTTATAAATGGTAGTTTGTGTCTGCTAATCCCAAACTCCTATTTTATCCTTGTCCCCTCCCTTCCCCTTTGGTAACTGTAAGTTTGTTTTCTATGTCTGTGAGTCTGTTTCTGTTTTGTAAATAAGTTTATTTGTATCATTTTTTAGATTCCACATATGAGTGATATCATATGATATTTGACTTGGTCTGACTTCAATTAGTATAATAATCTCTAGGTCCATCCATGTTACTGCAAATGGCATTATTTCTTTTTTTATGGCTGAGTAGTATTTCAGTTTGTGTGTTTGTGTGTGTACACCACATCTTCTTTATCCAGTTATCTGTTGATGGACATTTAGGTTGCTTCCATGTCTTGACTATTGTAAATAGTGCCACGAAGAACATTGAGGTGCATGTATCTTTTCAAATCAGAGTTTTCATCTTTTATGGATATATACCCAAAAGTAGATTGCTGGATCAAATGGTAGCTCTGCTTTTAGTTTTTTAAGGACCCTTCATACTGTTTTCCATAGTGACTGCAGCAAATTACATTCCTGCCAGTGTTATAGGAGGGTCCCCTTTTCTCCACATCCTCTCCAGCATTTATTATTTGTAGACTCTTTTGATTATGGCCATTCTGAGCAGTGTAAGGTGATAACCTCACTGTAGTTTTGATTTGTATTTCTCTGGTAATTAACAATGTTGAGCATCTTTTCATGTGCCTTTGGAGAAAATCATCTGTTTTTATAATAGTTTCTGCCCTTGTTCCCATATGGAGAGAGAGATATATATATATATTTATATATATATACACACACATACATATGTATAACATTCAGTCTATTTGAGGAGAAGGAAATCAGAAATCTGTCTACTTAAGGAGGGGAATTTTTATGTATACACAAATACATATATGAAATATGAACTATATGACTGGGACCGTATTTATTTCTTCTGATTTCCTAAATTGCCTAGACTGGTTCAAAAAAACCCCACTAGGTATTAAGTAAAGGGTGGGTGGAAAATCTGGAGAACAGTAAGCAACCATACCTCTATCAAGTCTTCTTAGATTAAAAGCAAGGTACATATTAGTTTATATCTCCAACCTATTTTACAGTTACTGTTCACGTCAGCCTTTTGTGGGCCAAACCAGCACATGTGTGACAGTAACTGGAAATACGGGGTTGTTGTTCATTTCTATGTGTTGTAATTGTATGTGCTATTCTCTTTTCATAGTTCAGAGAATGCAAGCACTATCTTTCAATAATAAAGCATCTTCATGAGTCAGCAGAAATGTACATTTAATAAATACTATTTAGAAATCAGGTATGAGAGTGCATGCCAGTTTGGAGATGGTAGTGTAAGGAGTGGGCCGAGATCTCAGTCATATTGTCTGGCTGGGATTCTGCATCCTGCATTGCTGGCTTCAGCTAGAAGATCCGCTAGATTTTTGGTTAATCTAGTCAGGATCAGTGAAACTTGGCTCCAGCCACGAACCGAGTTCAAGTGTGCTTCACATATCTCATTCCTCAGTGACTGGTGGGCTGCCCAAGACATAGTCTTCACAAGGTGGAAGCAAAAGCCCAGGAGAGCAGACCTAATGCTGAAATGGGGAAAGCCTCTGTACATATCACAACTATTAACATTTCATTTGCCAAATAAAGTCACATAGCCACGCCCCCATCAATATTAAATAATATTAACTTCCCAGGCATGACAAGTTTAACCACCATGTTTTTATCTGTACTTGTTAATGTTTTCTCCTTATAAGTATGCCTCTACATCTGATTTTTAAAAACCCAAGACTTCCTCTGTCAGAGAGCACCTAACAACTAGTGGAATATCACACAGGAGTTTGCAAGGTTGTCTTTTGGGCCTTTTTTTTTTTTAAACAAACATGCAAATTGACTCGGAGGTGAATTTAATAGCCTTTTTTTGTTAGAGGAAAGAAAATAAGGTGGCATATTAGAAAAAGCATATCCTTAGGAGATGAAACTCTCTTAGCCAATCTTATAATCTTAGTAATCTTGGCTAAGTTACCTAACTTCACAGAGCCTGTTTCCTCATGTGTAAAGGTCAGTAATACCTACCTCATAGGACATTTGGGAGGATTACATGCGATAACAGATATTGAATGCTTAGCATGTAATGGGTAGCCAATAAATACTGGCACCCACCTCCTTTCTTTCTTCAGTTCTCCCGGTTCCAGGCTTCCAGGCCTCCTTTTGACTTTGTTTCCTGCCTTCTGATTGTTTCCCAAGATTTATTAATTTTTTTTGCATTTTCACAATTCAGTAACTTCTCATCTCCTGGACGTTTTTCTTACCTGAACATTATCTGTTCTACCTGAAGATAAGCTAAGGAGCCAGACAAGTTTTGTGTTAGGTATTCACATAAAATTTTTTATGAAAGGTGATTAACATATCCTATATATTTCACATAATTTTTTAAAAGAGGTTTTTACTCACTTTGTGACCATTGTGAACACATGGTTATAGTGCTGTATATAATTTTAACCTTATTTAAATAAACCTATTTTCTATTTGAAATAGTTTAATACTAACTAGAGTTTTAGCATATGTCTATGTTCTATGATTGCTCTTTGGAGGAGACCAAAAAATACATGTATAATGTATACAGTTTAATTTTACTGTTTAGTATACTGAATGATTACTCTTTCCTCTTTAGTAGTTTAAAAAGTATTTTGTTTTAGTGCTGGCCATATGGCAGTGAACAAAACTGAGTCTTTGCCTTTGAAAAGCTTCTAAAGTGAAATTATTTTTCATACTTAAAATTTTTTGTAATGTATTTTTCTTATTTTGCTGATATATATATATATATATATATATATATATACACATACACACACACACACACACACACACACACACACATATATACTACATCACTACTACGTAAGGTTTAAGTTTTTATTACGTTAATAAGTAAATTAATTAAGTTAGTTAGGTAGTATTAGAGTAGTGGTCTTACTTA